GGGGGGGGGTTGCTGAGGAGAGGCGACGAAGCCGCGGCTGTAGACAGCAAGCCAACGGGGTCAGTCGTTCAGATCCCTCGCCTTTCCTCCTCCTGTGCCCGCGCAGCCTGAGAGCCCTCAGCGTTCTGTTCTAGAAGGGAAAGCGCAGGGTGATTGCGAGAGGTTTACGGGGACTCGATGCCGCAGAGAAAGACAGATCGGTTGTGCGTTTCCACGAAATAAAAGAAATAAAAAGAGAAAGCGGTTTCTTACTTATATTTATATATATTGTGAGCAGAACGGGCCGGCGGCAGCCCCCAGGCGGTTGTCGTCGCGGCGGTTACGAAGTGTAAGCGGATGGAAATGAATGCAAAGAAGCGCCAGGGCGGAGCTCACGGTGTATTTATTATATTTGTTGCTCTTTTCTTTGAGATAATTCATAAAGAAATAACACCAATGGCATAAAGAACAAGTTGAAGTCTAGAGCTAAGAGATCTGTACAGAGCCGGCGATTACTCCTCTGCCTGCAGTTGTTCCGAGCTCGGCAGCGGCGGGGGGAGGGGCGGGCGGCTGGCGTATGCAGCTTTGTGAGAGTTGAATTTCCTTCGTTATGGACCTGAATATTTCCTTTTTGCATACTATTGCACTGAAAAAAACTAAATATCACTTTACTTTTGAGGGAGAAGCGCGGTATACTAGGATATCGACGGCGCTGCCGCGGCTGGGCTAGTTGGCCGGGGTGATTCATGTTCAAGTTCAGGTTTCTGCAGGCGTGCATGATCGAGGGGAAGCTGCTGAGACATTCTTCCTCTTTGCTGTATTTATGAGCTTTTAGACCTAGTTAAGCATATTGAAAGCTGTTTTCTCTCTTTTGAAACACACAAACACCCTCAACGCTCTTCTCCTGTGCAGCCGGAACCGGGTCGGCGGCGGCTATCGAGTGTCAACGGTGCTGCAGCTGAGCGTTGCTTCGCTTCTTCTCACAACTGAAAGTCAAAAGAAAGAGGTTTTCTGAAGCTTTTCAGACAGCTGTTGATCAGCTCGTAGCGTCACTTCGTCTTCATCGTCTTCATCTTCGTCACCATCACCACCACAATGCCGCAACCTGAAACAGGCAGCAGAGGCCAGCGAGCAGACAGTTCCAGTGACCCAGATCGAACTGCTAAGACTCAGGTTTCTCAGGTGGCGCAGCTCTTTGCTCGTATACAGCAGGTCGGTCTCTCCTACGAGGTTGCTGTCAGGCGGCTGAAACCCTAAACGCTACGCCTCCATATTCCCTGCAGCGCAGCAACACCACACGCCCAGTGTTTAGCCTGGGTCGGAGAGGTTAGGTGTATGGAGCGTTGTGTTGTATTGTGGTTTATTGTATTGTGTTGCTTTTTATTTTGTTGTTTTTCGTTGTGTTGTGTTCTGCTGCGTTGCGCTGTATCTCCACAGGAAATCGAGGAGGCCTGCCCCCCAAACGCCATTCACTTCATCGTCGACTTCCTCTGCAAGCACTACCCCGAACACCTGAAGGGCTTTGCTTCTATATGGAATGCTGGTGGGCCAGCAAGACCTTGAGTATCCTCAGTTGCTGCAGTCGTTGCTGCTTTTGCTGCATCTGCTTCTGTTTCTCTCTCATGCTGTATCGCTCCCTCTTCATTCGTTGCCTCTGTGCTATTACCGCGGGTTGTGGGGGCCTCTGCTGTTGTTGTTGCTGCTGCTGTTGCTGCTGTGGCTGTTGTCGTGCGCCTGATACCCCAGCAAAGTTTTTTATATTTCTCTTCTTTTTCTGGTTGCGGCACACAGACTCTGAGCTTGAGAGGGATAGACTGCTAGTTGTTGAATTCTTCAAGGCGCAGAAACTGCCCACAGATGTCGCCGCCCACTTCACTAATGCTGGATTCGATACGGTTAGCTTCTCCCCCCTGTTGCTTCTGCTGCTGCTGTTGCTGGTGCTGCTGGTGCTCCTGCTGCTGCTGCTGCTGGTGTTGTTCATGGCGCTGCTGCTCCTGCTGCTGTTGTTGGTGCTGCTGCTGTTGTTGCTGCTTTTTCTGCTGCTGTGTACCTTATAGAACATTTTCTGGATGTGTATCGTTCTCGTTTTTGTGTGTCACTACGCACCTTGGGGTGTATCTGCAGTGTGTGTTTTCGCCTTTGTTTTGCGGTGTATATACATCCTCTCCCGCTTCTCTGTGCATGTGCCTGTGCAGCTGGAGACTCTGTGTACGCTGACAGCAGAGTCGCTGGACGACATAGAGAAGTTCAACCAAACGCGATGGCTGCCGGGGCACAAAGTGCGGCTGCAGGTGCGGCGCCGTCCTCTTTGTTTTTTTTTTTTTTTTTTTTTTTTTTTTTTTNTTTTTTTTTTTTTATGCCTACATTGCGTGGAGAGAGCGGCGTGTTTGTGTCTGTTGCTGCAGCAAACGTTCGCTGATATTGCTGGGAGGGTGCGGGCCTTCACTGAGGAGCGGGACTACCTGCTGCGTGCTGCTTCGGGTTTCTGCAGCCATCCTCAGCTGGTGAGCAAACAGAATGTGTTGCCGCTTCCTTCTTCTTCTTTCCCCTCTTCAGCGAATGTATGTTGCGGCCCCGCTCCAGCTCAAAGCCCGCCTCCAGTAACTTACCGCGCTTCTCCATCAACGCCATACACCACTCTCTACAACCCTGTAGCAACACAGGTGGTGACATACGCAACAGACGTGGCTCGAAATTAGAGAGCCGTTAGCTTCAGTTAATAATTATATGAAGCCCCACCACCAAACCAACCACGCTGCAGCAGCACACAGCGCAAATGAACACGTCCCATGCAGCTTTCTCCTGCCCACAGCGGCTCCTAGGAGCCCGCATGCATCTTCGCATGCACCAACACACTCCTACAAACGCAGAACTTATACAGCGACATTTGTAATACTTACCGCATTGCCATAAGAAACAGCCAGTACTTTTCTCTGAACGATTTAGCGCTTTCCCTTCCCGAAGGAAGCTTTTTGGCGTAACTTTGTTTCGCCGTTTCTTAATTTCCTCTCAAAGTGTCAACATTCCCCGTCGTTTTCCTCATTTTAGTTTCGTATTCATCAGATCAGCAATGCTGAACGGCGCTGTACTCATCGCCGCTGCAGTAAAAAGTAGACGAAACAGCCTATTTCTCCAGTTGCAAATACAGCTCATAGTGAAGCATTCGCTTTATAAAATTCTAGCTCTTGCTGATGATGTTTCCAGCGCATATTCCGCCAGAATTCCAGCATAGTGGGAGTTGCACGAGGTGTACAGACACCGCGAAACGCGTGAAACCGACTGGCGGTGGTTTCGCGTGGAAACCCGAGAGGATACGGCCCGCCTGGTGGTTGCAGGTTTCTGAATAAGGGTTTTATTGCCTCATGAATCATTGTTTTTAATTGGGTTCTATTTAAATCATGTTTCGGCATGGTTTCCTTGCCGCAGTTGGCGTTGCACTGGCGGCTGTAACTGCAGAGGCTGATCTGCCTGTTCACGCGTTGATTGTGAGTTTGTTCTATTCACCTTTTTTTGCTGAACCTGAAAAAGCATCAACTCCTGCAGTCAGATGTCGTCGGCATCTGGAGGTTCTTCGTCAGTGCTGAGGAATCAGATGAGCCACTGGCATGCGGCGGCGGCTCCCCCAACATGAATCTAGAAAATTTGGATCCAAGTATGTGTTTAAACCCTATAAATAAATATATAAGAGTGAACACGAGTTGTACTTTTGTTTGTATCACACCAACGCTGACCCGGTGTTTGTGTAAGCGTTGAAACGTCGCAAACTTGTATTTCCATTGCATCTTTTGTTCTCTGAAAAAATATGAATATTCTGTTGAATATTTCAACAGCAGAGCCGCGTTGTTTGCTCTATAACATTTCCTGTTTCTCGATAAATATTACGCTGCATCACCACCTCTATGCCTGCAGGCATCGATGAATACTATTCCTGGGTTTCTGCGGATAGCGGCAGAGGCCTCAGCACCCGGCTGCTGCTGAGTGATCAGAAAGCTGCACGCATGCAAACGCCAACAAGAAAAAGGTGGAGCTCGTTGGTGGTTTCTTTACCTAACAGCGGCTTGCAGATTGGCTCATGGACTATGGTGTATGATGAGGGATTTGAAGTGGGTTCCTCTTTGTTTTTTTTTTATTTTTTTATTTTTTTTTTTTTTTTTCGTGTTGGCTGTATTAACATAATACTTTTTTTCAGGTGCGAATCGGAAAGAAACGTTTCTTTGGATTCATGAAATACAGAAAGGCTGGCGGGGCAGAATGCAGAAAAAGAATGAATGGTGCGTAGACTAGCTGCTGCAGTGCATGCATCATATACATCTGCCGCTCCTGCTGCTGCTGCTGCTGCTACTGCTGCTGCTGCTGCTACTGATGATGATGGTGTTGCGCTCCCCAGGAGACTCTGAGGATCTCTTTGGTAATACAAACTGCTACGCAACGGACCCTACAAAGCTGCAGTTGGGGTGGGCTGTGAAGGTGAGTTTAGTTAACTTACAAAAAGAAAAAAAAATAAAAAATAAAAAAAATAAATGTTGCTGTTGTTGCTGACTCTGTTCTGTGTTTTCTCTCTATAGGAAACTCACACAGGCGCAGCATCGACGTTCAAATGGAGTTGTTTTTATGCAGAGAAAGAACAACAAGAGGAGAACAAAGAAACTTCATTTGTTATGTCTGGTCACGGCTATAAGCTCCCTGCTCTTTCTGCATTGCTTGCTGCTGGCACTGCAGCAGCAGCAGCAGCAGCAGCAG